CAGTGACGCAACAATTGCGATGTTGCTCAGGACACGCATAATAAATTTCTGACCGTGTGCCGGACTTAATGTTATTTAACTAATGAGTCATTCGAACATACGAGCTCGATAATGAATCCTATAATTGAGTAGTGTGAGTAATTGCCTGATTTGTGCTTAACACACAGAAATGTGTCGTTCAATACCTGTTTTTCTATCTAATATGCGTTATAATTTGTCCAAATCTATAGATTACAACCTTCATGTTTCAATATATTTATTTTGCTAAATACTTATATACGTTCATGCATCACTCCACGATTTTTGAAAAGACTTTCAGTTAAATCTACTATGTGTGCGGTGGGTTCATGAAAATATATGAGAAACATATTGTCATAATGTTTCCCAGGACAATTGAATTTAGAAGAAAGAACTGTATCTTTGTATGATTGCTTAGCGCTTTTTGAAATTAAATAACTCATTAAGGCCTACACGTTTTTAGAATGAATCAACGATCATTGCGAACTCTCATGGACGTTGGAAATTTTTGTTCGCAAAACTCGTAAACATACTTTATACAGTATATTTTATTAATATGGATTTTTTTAGGATTTTTCAATAACCTGCTCAATTTAATGTAAATGTTGAGAGATAGTGAATTCTGGAATTAATCACATCAATCGTGTTAGTGTTACTATATACATTATTAACATTAAGAACATTTGAACTGATCTTGCAAAAAAGTGGAATAGTTTGAAATATTTTCAACTATATTTGCCTCAATATTTTGAATGCTAATTTTGGGACAGTAAATCTGTAATTTTATATTCGTAGAAAATAGGTGACCCAAATCATATTTTCAAATTTATTAAGGACAACATCGCTATGAATACACTCCGTACCCCTGGGGATAGATGGTGAATGAAAAATTGGTTTGACACAGCACACCTATGATTTTGTTCACCTTATGTGTCTACTCCAATTAGGCAGGCAAACAATATCAGGCAAATTTTTATGAGCGAAACAATGAACTCAAAAATGCATTTATATAAATATATGTAATTTCAATCTCATGCATCGGATTGAACACTGTTAGAAAAATTACCGTTAACGGTATTACCGGCGTTTCAGTGGCCGGTCGGCACGTGAAAAGAAACACCGTGTCGCCGTTTTTATTCTAATTTAACACCAGAAATCCGTAAAACATCTAATAAAAACGGCGAAACAGTTTATTTTCACGGGGCGACCGGCCACTAGAACGCCAGTGGGACCGTTTTTTCACCGTTTTTCCTAACAGTGAAGTACATCAAAAGAGTTCATATCGTGTCATGTTAGATTTGATCTTTGACTTCAGTATTCATTATATAATTCAGGCTGAGTCATTCACGACGTGTGACGATATAAATCAGTGGCTGCGTTAGAGGTCATTGATGCGATAGGATTAGGAGCAAGGAGCGTCAAACGAAAGTGAATGTGCTCGTTTTCTCTAACGACCCTGGGCCAAAGTGACTAATAACTCTTTACAATTTTGTCGTTCTTTTCTAAGGACCATATGGTGCGACGTACGACATTCGCACAACCGTGTGAAGGGACAAATACATGTGAATTAATTAAACTCTTCGAGCAATGAATCTTTTATTAACTGTACACTTTTTGCTGGTATCGTGTACAAGGGTTTTTTTTGTTCAGAAAATAGTTTATGATTAGCTTCTTAAACTTATATACAGGGTTAATCTAAGTTAATCTATATGATGAACCCAGTTTAATAAATTCGTATTTATTTAGGTATAATTTCAAAATGAATAATTTATAAATCAAATGAAAGCGAAAGATTTAATTTTTTCACACTTGTAAATGTTCAACATGGCCCCCATTTGTGCTGCACGGCAAACATCTAAAATTCTAAAAAAAAAAGGTAGCTAAACTCGCCCCACACGCGAAAAAGCATATCTTCTGTTAGCTAATAAGTAATAAATTATTCATTTCGAAATAATTACGAATTTCTTAAATTGGGTCCATCATTTAGAATAACCCTGTATATATATCGGAGCTTCAGAGAAGCAAATGATCTAGGGTGATGCTATCCACGATACAAGGCTCTATGCATAAGCACACAAATTCATCTGTATGAATTATCCACAATACCCTAGATTTGTACTACTGTAATTTCCAAAAGTTCAATTTCAAGTACTGCAAAACCTTCACCTGCTTGATAATGAAAATTATATTTTCGAAATGTCGCATTCCATTAAAATGTCATTTGGTAAGATGTTTTTTGATCTCCCGGCACCAGCAAGAAATATTGTTTGACACATTGAAAAAAAGGATAAGAAGATTATGAATGAAAAGCATGTTCTGGTCTTTAACCATAGTTACATAATTTTTTATTGAATGCACAAAAGCAATTCAATAAAATTCAACTCAAATTCATTCGATTCCAGAAATAGAGTACCGGTATATTCGAATAACCATATAATATAATATTGAATCCTATGTTACTTTACATTTTTTGATATTATACGTCATCTCAGGACGCTGAATTTGCTTGGTTGTTCAGGCCAGCTTGATCCAAGAAATAATGTTATATATGCATGTTAGTTATTAATAATGTTCTAACCACACGAATTGCACGCACACAAAGCCGCTGTTAAGTGAGTGCTATGTTGTATAATAGCTTACCCATACTAATTACCATTCATGGATGCTATAATGCACGACTTGAATGCGACTTAATTATTTATGCACACATAACATCTCACAGCTGAGTAGCTTTAAGAGACAAGCATACCTTATTTCTGTCTCAGCGGCCTAAAAATAATCAAGACATTTCCAAAATAACATAACTTATTTAATGGAAATAATGTGATAGTAAAAATAACTCCTACGCAGATCGTTCAGGAACTTAATGGTCGGCCCAACTGCCGGTGCTTTCGTCCTTTCGTTCGGCGCTCCAAAGAAAGTGACAGTGCGACACGTCGGCCAGGCCATAGCCACAGTCGCGCGCCACAGACCGTCTGAGTCGTGGAGTGTGTACGAGGTCTGCTGATCGTGTAAACGGCGTATGGGGTCTGCTAATCGTAAATCAAGATGGGGTCTGCTGATCGTGTAAACAGCGTACGGGGTCTGCTATTCGTAAATCAATATGGGTCTGCTGATCGTGTAAACGGCGTACGGGGTATGCTGATCGTAAATCAAGACGGGGTCTGCTGATCGTATAAACGGAGTACGGGGTATGCAGATTTAGGATTTAGTACATGGCGTACGGGGTCTGGTGATCGTGTAAACGGCGAACGGGGTCTGCTAATCGTAAATCAAGATGGGGTCTGCTGATCGTGTCAACGGCGTCTGCTGATAGTGTACACGGGGTCTACAGATTTAGTACACGGCGTACGGGGTCTGGTGATCGTGTATACGGCGTACGGGGTCTGCTGTTCGTGTAAACAAAAAATTACGTTGTTGGCCAATGTGGGGGCATTTTCATATTTGCCGTTTTAAGTGTGGTGACTTATTTAGTGACTATAAAAAAAACAGCAATCAGTGTTTTTGATCGGATTTTCATTTTTATTGAACAATTTTAATGAGAAAATCCACGAAGTTTAATAAGTGACGATCAAGTAGCCTCGGAAGTAGGAGTTCGAGATTTAAATGTTATTTTCTAAAGGATTTCTGATTATTTTTTTTACATCGAACTTTACAAACTTAATTATTTCCAGCTAAGCTTATTGTGTTTTGAATAATTTATTTGCACGTGCGCTTCTTCGCCTTTTAATAACTGCTGAATTCTGTTTTAATTTTCAGATTTAGAACGCATTTCTGATAAATGGTTCTGCTTATTTTTCCGGCTGAAGGTTGGAATTTAGATAAATACGAGTAGATTGATCAAGAGACAAATGAGTTCCAAGGCCTGATATCATTAATTCATTTCTGGGTAGCTTTGAGTTTGTACTTGGGATCGATTTCAGAGTTGCCCTGTTATAATTTAGAGTCTGACAAGACCTGTGAAATGTGAGTCATACATCTTATTAAGTGTGAGAATTACATCTTATCAAGTATCAGTTTTATATTTTTCTAAGTATGACCCATGCATCTTCTGGAACGTGGGGCATACTATTTTTCAACTATGAGTCATACATCTTTTATAATCTAAAGTGTGGGTAAACACCTTCTCAAGTATGTCATACGTTCTCTAATACCAATTAATGCTTCTATTTACCTTCGAGTTTGAAGCCAGAGTTCAAGTGGACGTGGAGGCGGGATGCGTTTGGGCGGCGGAGGCTGGTCGCCTGGAGAGGTGAGCGATGTGGTGGCGGAAGGTTCCGATCAAGTTGCTGCTGGCGACTCCACTTGGCTGCCTCAATGTTTCAACAAGGTGAGGTTATTTATCTTAATTCTAGGAAATATTGACACTAAAACATGCTACTATTCCAATAAAATGCGCAGAATATTTTTTTCTTCGTACCAATGGAGTCGGTTAAGACAAAGATGGGGGTAAAGACTTAAACATCAAGTGTTTCGGAAGTGGTATTTCAATGTATTTTTCGATTTATAACAAATTACTGCACCATAGCTAGGCTAAATCATAAGTCACAATATCCCTAATTGGGTAAAATATTTGCAGAAATTGACGCGTCGGCTTCTTGGAGTAGTCCTGCTGCTGGTGGCCATTTCGGTTATTGCTGTCATAATCTACCGTCTAACAATTAAATCATCTCTAACCGAAACCTCAATAACTGCTCCTTCTGCGTTCCTCACCGCAAACGACTCAGAACAATCACCGGAATGGAGTAGAAAAACTAAAATGTATGATTCAGTTCATGCATCAGGTAAATTCTACATTGAAAATCCCTCCGAACAAGAAAAATCATCGAACCAAACAACAGGTAGAAGAATTCCCACAAAGAAAGATCAAACGACTGGAACTAGAGATGGTCATATAGTGGATAAAAAACAAACTTCGAAATACGAAAATGAAACTCTTAGAAACCACGACTCATCACAAAGGCAAGCTGCGACGTTGCAGAGTGAGCATGCAGAATTTGAAAGTAACAATCTTCAAGGGTCTTACGAAAGTATTGAATATGATTCAGCCTATGCACTCCCTTTAAAAAGTGAAAGAAAACAATCGGCACCTAGAATGATTCAATCGAAAAATTCAACGGATGGTTTCCAGGGGATAATCATCGGTGACAAAATGTTTGGTGAGAATCAGGGCGCGCGAGATACATCTCAGTGTTGTGATGAATCTAGCATTCGGGAAAGTGCTACCCGCAATGAAGTGATTCCATTGAAATCAGCCTTAGGGAGAGAGGCGTTGAAACATTCGGTAAATCGTGTTCAAGAAGATAAAAATAATGAGAGTTTGACTTTGAAGAATGGACATGCTGCCTCATCGACACAAATCGCCAAGCTGGTAGTCCTTCTATCGGATCCAAAGGAATCGTTCAGTAAAGATGTGGAAGACTTTTTCGACAGCTCCGTGGAAATAGCTGATCCGTTCTCGACAGAACTATTTGATTCCCATGATGTATTACGGGACGTGAGCGTCGAAGTTGTTGACGAAATATCTCCTACGGAAGACCACGAGTTCACAATAATAACAGCGAGGAATATCACAGACGGCAGCCCAACTGATTTTCAGAGGACTCTCATGCGGAAACTTCCTCCAGAGAGAGGCAGTTTAGGTTTCGTTTCTGAAAGGAAAAATGGAGATTTTAGTGCCACGTCTCACATCGAAACCCAGGTTCATCTGCAGCCTACAGCATCCTCATCAATGGGAATATTCCGAGCAGGAACTGAAAATAATAATTTTGGTGCTACCTCTGCATCACAGGACCGCAATAATTTAGAAGACCCTGTTGAAATAGGGCTGACCTCGGCGTCAGTTGAATTATCGTCAAGAGCCCCACGAAAGCCTGACCGGGTAAGAGTTAGTCGACGCAAACTAGAGTCAGGCCATGGAAATGTTAACGCAAGCTCCTCGATTCACTACAATAATTCGACAAACGCTGATCATTTATCTTCCCAAAATCCCTCGCAATTTAAACATTTTGAATTAGACGGAATGCCCCAGCCGGGATCTCAAGCCGCCAATGAAATTCAGTTTTCCAAAATTAGTAGTAATAGTTTCGAAAGTCAGAGGCAAGATGAATTCTCAGCCTCCGAAAGCCATTTAAAGCTTCAGAAGGAAATGAGTCCAACAAGTGGGTCTGAAAGAACTCCTTTCAACTTGAATAATTCCGAAGTTTTCGTGTCTCAGTACCTCCAACCGCCACTTTCAGACCTGAGCACGGTAAGACTTTTCTCGTTTTGGAATAACAGTTCATTTGAATTATTTTATATATAATTATTATTGAATAATTATATTTCTGATACATTATTTCACCCGCTGATCCGTCTTACCGTATTTCTTTGTAGAATAATTTCAAATATAGGTTCTAAAATCTTAAAAGAACTATTATATCGCATTGAATTGAAGTAAGTGCTGAAGAGTTAATCCTCAACTTTATAGTTGATAATATAATTTGAGGCCGACTGAATCCCCGCACTAAACTTCTATTGATGTGAAACAAGGAACAAATAGACTGTTGAACCATAGTAAATAAATTAGATTTTGGAATGCATAACAAATGCCCTGCCTTTATAATACTAATAACTAAATCGAGACTAATAACTAAATCGAGACTGAAGAGCGACCTCAACTTCTTTAAAGAGGTGAACGCGTCACTGAAACACATTTGTCGAGTACCCGATACTTGTATCGAAGGTAGACTGACAAAAGCCATCACCACTAACAATTAACGTCACCGTTAGAGTTGCCAGCATTCTTCTTAATTGTCAAGTCATGACTTAATTCTGAGGAAGATGAGATGCCAGGACAGAATAAGGTCGCTTTGAGGCAACATGCGACTGAAAAAGATAACATGGCCACATGTTCGAGAAAAAATTACTATTTTTAATCAAAACTATTTATCTAGAGACTAACAATGAATATAAACAAGATCTATGAACTCTAATTCAGATAGAAAAATATATAAATATGATATATACATATAAGAAATATAATATGTATTTTTAATACATCTCTAGAATTGAATAGAAATTGAAAGAATTTGACTTCATTGCAAATGGCTAGATTTGTAATGTGACGTTTGAATATAATATTTAAATTTGTTTGTTAACGAAAGTTTCTAGTGCACACACCGACATTTTTTTCGGTTCTAGCTCCGCGTAAACTGCAGTTGGATGTTATATCATTTGAATGTTTTTGCGTAAAGTGTGCTGTTTTCCAGTCAGAAATTAGACCTCCGACGGATAGCACTCCCTTGCCGCAGCAGAGTTCACCCATACTCTTGGTCGGCGAGGACTTCGATGACGAGTTTCCCTACAGGAATGACTTGGAATTCAGGGGAGAAAATGGGACCCCACAGAAAATAGGGTGAGAAAAGGCATTTTGTTGGACACGAAAAAATCATGTGAAGGTAGGCGTCTCTTGTGTGAGACTCTGTCTCATCATGAAATATTTCGTGAGAATTTTTATACTTAACTGATCTGGTGTATGGCTAAGAGAATCTTGATTTCGTTCAAAGTGAGAGAAATTGATACGAATAATGGGATTTAAAAATATATTTGAATTAAATATTATTAAATAATTGGCTTATATAAATGATATATAAATTATATGAATAAATACTCATTTTATCAGTCCTCACTATAAAGTATGCAATCTCTTAGCGAACAATGAAATTTAAATATTATATAAAAACAAAAGCTCGTAGATAAATTATGATTGATGTACACCATTCAATAGTAAAGGTTGTTCCAATTGCTAATTGTTAAAGTGAGGTAAAGTTAATACGAGACAGAATCGTTGACGCGCACATGTAAGATAAATTTTTCATTTAAATAGAAATCTGATAGAATTTTGATTTATTTATAGAAATGCAATATCTTATATTTCTTTCTTAAAGTTTGTTTGCGTTTTTGATGCTTGGCAGCGCAAAAAATTTCGGGGATGTTTCGGCGACTTATTTTTAAATTATCATAATAACGTAATTTAATGGACTTAAAATAGATTCTCATGTTTTAAAACGAGAGTGAAATGAGAATTCTGTGTTCCATGATATGAAAATTTGAATGGGCTAATCCTTTATAGGAATATATTACCTTTATAATTAATTTTTGTCACACAATGGTAATTACGAGATGTGGGATAACGAGATGCGGGATAACGGGATGCGGAATAACGGGATAACAAGATGTGGGATAACAGCATTCTCATTTGCAGTGATTATCGAGCCCGGACTACGCCGGGCCAACCTGCTAGTACTCGATATTTACTATAGTTCAAAATTTTGTTAAATTATTTCCTTATTCCATAGACATATCAGGTACAGTGAATATCCGACTTTTGGATATTTGGATACGCGCTATTTGTGTTGTGTATACGCGCTTGAATTAGAAATCATCTTTGAAAACAGCGCCAAGCTATAGTCAAACACACAAACTATCGATTATATAAAATGGTATATCTGAATAATACGTAATATCGACAAGAACTTAGCAACAATGTTTTCATTAAATTGTAGGCTGCTATCTAAAGAATCTACAAAGAGACCATCTAACTTGCCCTCGTAAACTAGACTGCAACGTACGATAATTGTACTCAAGTAAGGCTGCGTACACAACAGCGTAATTGCCAACATTATTTATTATTGTTTATTATTGAATTATTTGCGCAGGTCGTTGCATCCGACTAATGACGCCATCGGGACCAAGAAATGCGGGACTCATGAGAGCGCGGCGCTGGAAATAACTCACCAGCATCAAGGTAGCCTGGGGGGTGCGAAAAGTTTCGTTTTTGGCTCACCAGTTTGGGACGCTTGCAGAGAAAATCACGGTGAACACACCAGCGTAGATGCAAACAAAGTTGAAACGCACACGAAAGAATTAAAAACAAGCTCCTACGTTGTACCACCTACCAAGCCCAAAGTTGACGCACATACAACTGAGTTGCAAACAAGTTCTTACGTTGTACCACCTAGCAAGCCCAAAGTTGACACACATACAAATGAGTTGCAAACAAGCTCCTACGTTGTTCCACCTACTCAACCCAAAGTTTCTGCATTTATAGCTGACATGAATAATGGCATGTACTATTCTTTAACTGCTTTGGTTCCTAAAGAGCATCTGAAGATAGGCTTGATCGATCAACACAAAGGGTATGAAACCTACAAGCCTATTGATCTGATACCCTCACGCGACGGCCCGCAGCAGCGGCGTCACAAAGGACTAGCAAGCTTGTCTAGTCTTCCCAGCAGTTTTCAGAAGTCCACTCAAGCGATTACACGACATCAAGCTAAACTAAAACCTCCAATGAGCTTCCTCGATCATGCATCGTGGAAATCTCGCGATGATGGAAAGCTAAATAACGTCTACGTACACCCAACTTTCCTCCCCAAAGTGACAACTAGAGGGCTTGATTATAGAACAAAAGGAGGTACTAGTTGGCCTCGCAAAAATTCTATGCTATACCAACCGATAAAATCAAGTTTCTCATCAACTGAAAACTTGCGTGTAGATCGGCCAGAAAGTCGCTTCATTTTCGCTTGGCACCCTGCGCCTGAACCAAAATTTTCCCACTCCAACATTCGAGAAAGAGTGGACGATTTTTTACCTCTGGCGTCGATGCATGAGTTTCTACGTAATGATGATGTTTCTCGGTCGTTCAAAGTCATAAATAAAACTGAAAATTTTCAGGAATTCAACATGCAGAACATTTTGGTTCCACCCACTGGCCGCCAGCTCATGAGTTCACAGCATTCCGATGAAATAAAAAACAATTCTTTTCCTGACTCATCAATCCACGACAGGGAAAAACTAAAGCACGCTAATCCATTGGGCCACGAGAAAAATATGGATCACCATAAAAACTCTTCAAATGTTTTGCTTCTGCCACGAAATACCCTTACTTCGGAATTCGCCGATTCATACAGGAAATTTGAAAATCGTTCGGGAACTACCTATGATTTTTCATTTCACTTCCACAGAGACCTCGCAAAGAAATCCGAATTCCGGAGGCGCCATTCGTCTGCAGATTAAAGTTATTAAGTCGCTGCTTCTCTGTCTTAGATGTGAATAGAAATAGGAAACTTTCAAATGGCTACCTAAAACAATTCCTCACTAATTTTGAAGCATTAGTATAAGTTACGAATTATTTGCCAACTCAGAGTAGTTCCTGACAAGCTTAATTGAAGAACTGAATTTGCTATACAAGTATGAATCTGTAGGCCCTGATCAGGTTACAGGTCGGAGCTAGTGTCTTCACTAGTGGCCACAGACAAGTTTCAGGCAGCAGGTTCTCGGTCTGTTGCTAGTTATTGGTCATGTTGTAGGTTATTAGTTAGTTAAAGAGTGCAGGTTTACAAAGATTTTACGGTACAATAAAGAATTTACCGTAATTCGTGGTAACTTTAGTCACGGCAACAGGTTACCGAAAAGTTCTAAAAAATATAACGCAGTACTCACTGCAGTGAGTGACAGAGAGCGCATTTTCTCGTCGACGAAAACGTGAAGTCACGGACGTACAGACAGACAGACGGGCGGACGGACATGGCGAGCACAATAGTGCATTTTTCCATAAATGAGAAAATGCGCTAAAAACAAAAGACAATATTCATATCATAGAAAATTATAAGAAAATGTATTTTTTCCATAAAGAATACTTTTCGGCGATCCGCTACATCGTCATTTTAAAATTCTTAAATAAACGGCGTTGCATGAATCATTTTGGTACTAGCTAGTAAGAAAATTTAGCAGTCAATAACGTGTATCATTGAATATTGAAGGGATAATGAAGCTGGTCTACAAAATGTTCAAATGAAATTTCTTATAATTTTTCTTTTCTTTTATGTTGCTGTTTAGAAAACCAAGAGTTACAGCTGACATACTTGACAATTATCGATTTAGCAAGACTTTAAAATGAAATTTCAACTTGTTATTTTTAAACACTAGAAATACTGTGTTTACAATAGCAGCTAATGTGCCTTTGGCAAGAAATCACGTGGAATTTGAACGAGTAATTTCGTTCATTATTTATATAGTATATATAATTTTGCAGTGTACATATTAGACATGCAAGGAGATTTAAAAATATAATATGAATATATTTTGACTACGGACTTTCACTACAATCTGCTCTGCTCTGAAGCTTGTATGATAACAAAAGCTGCCAGGATTCAGAATATCAAAATCTTAACATCCTCCATTCACGTTTCCGCTCTTTTGTCCTCTTTGATTGTTATTCAGAATATCACAAACTTATTATTCTTTATCACACATGTTTCGGCTCCAATATATAAGCCTTATATAGTTATGGCAATCGAATCTATTTATACACACTAAACTAGACGAAAATATCAGGCAGGAGAGTTTCATCTTCTGCGTTCATTAACACTACATTAAATCCATTTTAGAATTGTTATAACGTAGTGAGCATAACCTACAACTCAATGGGCTGGATTTCATGCCTGTTCATATTATTCCAGGGAAAATCATTAATTATAAAGATTTTTCAAATATCCACACACACATTTGTTTCAGTGGGTCATGGATAGCTGAAAATCGTGCATACATTATTTTTATTTTGCATTTGTTTTTGGTTCATCATGTATACATTTTCATAGAATATAATTAAGACTTTTGCAAATGAAATCCAAAATGAAACTTAAAATTAATACATTTCCATAGACTATAATCAAGACTCTAGCGAATTAAATCCAAAGTGAAAATTTAAGATTAGAATTTGAATTCTAGTTCCTTCGACTGACTTATTACGACAGCTACAATAAGAATTTCTGACAGCAACGTCAGAAATTCTTATTAAAATAGTAACAGAAATAGTATAAATTCTTATTAAAATAGTAACAGAAAAGAACCTAGCGCCTAAAATAGAATGATTTTGATTAGACTGAATAAAACAGATTGATTTTTGACCATGTTTCACATATTATTTTATAAAGTACCATGTCCTGGTCACGGCTTTAATTATGCTGGGGTCACCCAGAATCGGCCAGCCCATGGTTGAACTACTACTACAACTAGTACTAGTTCAACCATTGGCCAGCCGTTGTTATAGCACTTTCACGTGGACCCCAACATAGGCTTGTAATGAAAACTCTCCCGCAACCACTCTTTTGAATCTGTGTTTCCAAAATCTCCTATGAAGAAAAAAAAACAAAGAATAAATAACCTGAAGTAACAAATAAATGAACAAAAGAGAAAGTATGAACAAACGCTTCTCATGAATAAACTAATCTAACTTTACAGAATATAACAAAAGTAAAGAACATCTCGGAATAACCACTAAATGAAAAACACATGAACAAACAAATAACCAAGTTAAAACACACCTTGACACTGACTTCAAATGCGGGACTGACTAGGAAGGACTACTGTATAACCTACAAATCTAACTTCCGCATTTCTAAACTGAAAACTAAAATTCCAAAAAAATTTTAATAATACCAAATTCGAAATCCCCAACATTGTTCTGAATGAGAACTCAACCTGGAGTCAAGTTGAGAAATTTAACTTTATGCCCGTTATTTTAGTTCGAATTTAATGCTGGGTGAAGAATTGATTACTTGGTTATTCAATAACTTGAAATTCACATAATTTGTATAATTGTTAATTTAAATGTTCGCACCTACAGTAGACGCAATCCCCCCAAAATCCCCCAAAGGCTTAGAGCTTATAACTGTACTGTTCAACTACTCCGTTTGTGCAGTCGTTTACTCGTGTAAAAATAGTAATAGTAATAGTAAAAGTAATACCAATAATAATAGTGATCGCGGTATCAGCGATCCTTTTCGGTCTTTTTTCCGGAAGGAATAGTATAGGGTACATGAGGACGTATTCTCCATTCATACTTTGGGGGACCCAAACAGATGCGGGTGTCAAGGACGTTACAGGTGTCGTCGGAGCAACACTAAGTGGTTACCTCCCCCAGTGAAGGTCACGGAGTGCCAGCTGTGGCCCTCAGGTGCCAGCTGTAGCCCTCAGGTGCCAGCTGTTGCCCTCAGGTGCCATACACAAGCCACTCCATCCATAAACAACGATGGCTCGGAACGGGGCACTTCAGTGCCGCTGTAGTCACCATCGTGCGCGGTCATGTCAGTGCGGCGAAGGCTTTACTGCGGTCGTCGATATCTTGCTTGAATTATTGCGTTGCGGTCTCTAAATTACAATATTTCTGAGATACCGAGTAGAGTTTCGCAAGTAGGCATTCAAAAGTTAAAATTTTTTACAAAAATTTTAGGATTTATTGCATAATTGTTTGAGGATAATTCCTGTTATGAAATTAACGAGATGAATGTTCCTGTTGATCAATCGACGAGCGAGAGCTTTCTTGCATGTATTCTATAAAAAATATAATGCATCTTATTAATACAAGAATTATAAATTATAAATAATTAATTTACGGTGTACAGGTTCTTCCGACAAAAAGTTTTTAATTCAGGACTACCTAATTTTTGATTGATGGTAATTTTCGTGGCGGACGTTCGCATAGTGAAATGTTTTAACGAAAATTTTTTTTAAACTGAAAACTGAGATATTCTCTCGTGCAAATTCGCGATTAGGAAATAACACTGGGATTACGCTCACTAGAATTCGATGTTAAATATAGTTTGTTCTTAGAATCCATTTAAATATGTTAGCTGAACTTACGATGCAGCGACAATTAATGTTATGCAGATAAAGAAATCTTCGTCAGTAGAGTGTGGTCACTCCTCCAGCTAGACGTGCTCGAGTGTTAAGGTCTCGTTCGAAGTTGAGATTGAAGTTCGCTATGAAGTTGCGATCAAGTCAAGTTGACGAGGAATCGACTGAAAGAAACGTTGCAGTGCTATAGTTGTGTTCAACGAACTTATAGTAAAAAAATAGCGGTGCTGGATGAACTAAGACGAAGGCAGTTGAACATCAAAATTTCTACTTGGACTTAGAGAAAACCGCCGTATTGAATATTATTTAAAGTAAGTATAATTTCCCGAAACTTTACAATCGAAGATCGATGAATACAAAAATTTTATGAGATATATTTTTAATTTAATATTTTGGTCACTTTTAGTTATCTAATAATAATAATATTTTAGGAAACAGTCACTCGGTATGAGTCAGATTGCGGCATCAGTCAGAGTCAAGCCGAAACTTGCTCGGCACAGCAATTATTATATCTAGCACAGCTATATAATTTTCTTCCATTATCTTCGCTTGCATTAAGTCTTGAAGTAAAATTACATATTTATAAATAATTGAATAGCTGACAACTGAAACAGTTGCGAAACAAAATGTGTTGGAAAGTAAATTTAAATATATTTGTGTTTCCTGTTATTATAACTTCATTATAGTCGTGAAAAATCAGGGCATGCTAGTCAATATGGATGATCACGTGCGTCTGAAATTCATGATGACATTCTACTGAATTCTATTCCGTGTATATAAGATACATGATTAAGTTGGCTAGCTGGGTTGTGTGGGCATCTCCGTCATTCATGATAGTATCCATCAAAATGTTACCGTATATCTAACATACTTGCTGATATTCACTTGAATACTCAATTGTATCTAATATATGGGCAAGATTCATCAAAACGCTCCCGCGGATAATATATACGTGAATATACATTCATTAAAATGTTTCTGCGTGCATAGAATCTCGGGATTATCAAATCTCATAAATTCTCTAACGCAAGCGAAGCTGTGTTAGATTGTTAGTTTTTCTAACATTTATATTAAGCTTTACTTTTTTTCCAAGTCCCGTTTAGCGATTTCTCCTGATTTCAGCAATAAAATGTCATGTTCATATCAGGGGTAATGTCCTAACAAGTATTGCGGATACACGTCTCAATATACCTTATTTACAGGGATCTAGAAAGGGTGCCAGATTACAAATAAGCACAAACTTTGCTACCAATAAAAGACACAAAATATAAATACTTAAGAGACAAATACTCGTAATTGATGTACAAACTAAAATATATATTCATATAACATACATAATTCCATTCATCTAGATCGTCGCTGCGTAGCGGGTTTTATCAACCTAGAATCCAATAATGAGTTCCATTTTTACCTCTTTACGATAATTCCGGTGAATGGTTGAATATCGAATACGTAATTGTGCGCTCTATTGGAATTTACGTCTGAAAGTCTGTGATGCCAGAAAGGCAGTAAAATGGATTATTGAAAATTTTCCGTTTGCGAGAGGAACAATGGTAATTAACTCGCCCACATTTCAGAATGTAAAGGCCTCGCTATAATTGTATTACTATTCGCTTTATGAAAGGCTTATGAAAATTAATCGTAAATGATTCAAAACAGGTACAGTATTGACAAAAATTTTATTGCAAGTTTTAATATTTGTCTTTATTAACGGGAGCTTACTAGCTACTTTTTAATTCAAAGCTACATGAAGGTATAATAGCATTTTTAATATTGAAATAAATGTCGCAGTTCGTGATCTGAATCTGATCTGCAGTG